CTTCTAATTGTTGCCTCTATAAGGAGAACGTAGTGTCCAAACAAATTCAGAAATTCCACTTGAATCGTTTAAATATCAATTTGATTAATTACAAACAAATCATTCATTTGTCGACCCATTCATATATAGTTGATATTTCATGATATTTTTTATTTGTTGTATACACAATGCACTTAAAACAACGGTTTTAAAATTACCCCGTTGTAAGGTCGTAAGGAGTACCTTTTCAAACTTTTATTTATCGATTGACAACATTAATAAAATATGATCTACAAAACCTGCAAAACCTAGAGTTTCCTAAACCTGCTAAACCTAGAGTTTCCTAAACCTGCAAAACCTAGAGTTTCCTAAACCTGCAAAACCTAGAGTTTCCTAAACCTGCTAAACCTAGAGTTTCCTAAACCTACAAAACCTAGAGTTTCAAATACCTTTTAAGCCTTTGTCCAATTCTCAATGGTACATGTTTCTAAACCAATTGATAATTTCACACAACTGTTTAATCTTTATTAACAATCATTATTTATACACATGTACGTCAATAACAATTTGTATTTTGTTGTAGGAAACCTTCGTTACTGAAAAATATACATTTTCAAGAAGTTGTTCTCATCTATGTATGGCCGGTAGAAAAGAGTGTTTCCCTAGCCTATTCGCCTTTGGATTTGTCATTCTTCGAGTTACATATCCTCTGCTTCAGTTCATCCCGCTTCGAGCAATATTCCTTTTGATCGGCTCACAACAATGCACTTAAAACGACGGTTTTTTTGCCGCTAGGTGTCTCTGCCACGTGGAATCATTCAGAGCATCGGAGCAGAGACACCTGGCGGCCAACTAATCGGCGTTTTAAGTGCACTGTATATGAAACAAGTAAATAATGCTATGAAATATCAACCATATACGAATGCATCGAAAAATTATCGATGAGTACAGGTTGTAATATCTGAATGATTTGTTTGGAATGAAATTGATCTTTTTTTACGACCCAAGTCAAATGTTGCAACTTTCTGGATTTGTATAGACTCTACCTTCTTCTTTTAACAATTTTCTCCTTATCAACGCACCAGATAGAAGTATATAAGAACAGATATATATAAGAACTATCGATAATTTTTCGCCAAAAGCCTATACCCCTTTTTGTTTTTTGGCGAACACTCCCTTTAACAAATTTAAAGTTACTTGCGCATTTATGCAGCAAAAGGAAAAGAAGACAATTTACGGAATTAAACGGGTTTTTAGGTAAATATCTACTATATTCACCTCATTTTTGTTAAAATTGAGGTTAATGGGGTACCGCTGTAAATAGAACATGCCATACTGTAAATCAAAATTACATCTAAAATCCCTTTGAAACTATCCATCTCTAATTTAAACAAAATCAGCCTATTTTGTTAAAACACAGCTATTTTAAACATTTATAAGTGTAAAATGCATTTATACGAGTTATAAATGCAAATTTGTGCATTTTACTTAAAATTTCTGACACTTTCCCTTAACTTCCTCGGGATCATTTCCCCAAGTGCACTTTCAAACTAAAGGGTTTCAAAAAATAATGGAGTCGTCATAAAAAAAAAATATTTGAGAAAATTTGAAAATAACAGAGATTTCCGATGAAACTTGTAAACTGAAGAATAACAGTATTATTATATTTATATCTAATATATATATTATTTATTTTATCTATATCATAATATTTATATTGTTTATTATATTTATATCTAATATATTCAAATGTAATGTTTTGCACTTATACTGCATTCTGCAAATCTGAATACAGCCGCCGGATGCATTAAGGTAAAGTTAATAAAAATTATACATTTTTAAATATTCAGTCGCAGATTTACAGATTTGTAAAAATCAAATTTGAGGCCTTAGAAATTCGACCTATTTTCTTTATTTACTTTTAAAATAAAACCTATGGTTATTTTACAATATAAACTTCAGGGTTAACCATAAAGGTTGAGACTAAAATGATGACCTTTATATATTTCGATATGAAGGTTTAAAGGGACAGACCGGCTATGCAAGGTAGTTGAACTTAGTATGCAGTGTTGTGGACAAATTCTTTAGGATTCATTTGAGACATATTAAACTTTTTTAAGATCTGTAAATCCTGAATTTGAGCGCAAAGTCGACGTTCAAAATCGTACTTTTGGGGGATACATTTGTTTTAAATTATTAAATAACGACGACAAAAATTGTAAATAAAATTCTACAGTAAACTAATTAGTTGTTTAGGAACAGGTTGGCGAAATAAAAATTAACTCTTATCATCGAAAATAAGTTCTCTTATTCAATTATTTGTTTTAATAATCTCTCAAATTATTTACAAAGATTTTCTGCAGATTTTCTGGAATTTTTATTAAAAAGATGACATTTGAAGAATTTGTAGAAATCTGCGAATACATTCATAGAAAATAAGAAATTCAATATAATGATGAAAACGAAATAATTGATTTATTGACAAATTTCTTTCTAATTAGTTTACTATATAATTTTTACTTTATTTTTCGTCGTTATTTAATAATTCAAAATAACCCGATTCTGAAATCGTACCCATCCAAATTCATAGTTTTCAACGTCGACTTTGCACTCAAACTCAGTAATTATACATCGTGGAAACGTTTTTTATGTCTCATCAAATGAATCCTAAATCCTAAATGCATACTCAGTTTAACTACCTTTAATTTTGTCTTTTAATAGTTTTTTTAGAAACACTAAATGAAAAGACAGAAACAGGTTTAAAGTTAAAGGGAACCACGAATGTGATTTAAAAAAATGTACACTATTAAACTTTTAAACAAATGTACATCATAATGAATTTATTTTACTTAAATGTCGTCTTCCTATTCCACAGTTTTATTGAGTCCGCTGTAGGACACCTCAAAAAAAAGGTTTTAGACTCGTGTTCGGACAGACCGCATCAAAATGCATGAGTTTTTAGATATTTGACAATAGTACAACATTTCTTTAAAGTGTTCGCGAAAATTAAAATTCCAACTTTTTATCCGAAAAAATTATTTTCTGTTCTTATACATTGGGAAAAAATACAAAAAATTATAAAATTGAATTTTGATTATCCTCTTTTTTTCTGTTAGCGAACACTCCCTTTAATTGAATTTACAAATAATTGTTTAGAAATTTTGAAAGCTCACTTGCTGAAACCTCTGAAAAAAATGCTCAAATTTAGTATTCAAATTTTAATTTTATCACTTGTGCGTCCAGACTCAAAATAAACATCATACAGTGAAAACCAGAAAAATATGGAATAGAAAGATACTTTTAAACTATGACTAATAAGCATGGGAAACAGAAACTGAAAGTGTCTAGTAAAACTATTTTCTTTCTATCAACATCAAAACACTCAAGTATTGCTGTAAAGTCGTCTTCCTATTTCGGAGTTTTCTGGTTATGACTGACTATCCCGGTTTTTCTAATTCAGAAGTTCAGAACACAACTAAGACAGTCTAAACCGAGGTTGTATAATAAGGTTGGGTTCTCTCGATGCGCTCCAATGTGCGAAAAATGTCATCTCCTAAGATAGATAAATATAAACCTAATATGACGTCACTGATTTTAGAGGCGAGAGAACTGTAATATTAAATTTGTATCTATCTATCCTAGAAGAAGACATTTTCCGTATTTTACGTTGGTTACTCTCGATGTGCTCCAATGATATATACATTGGAGCACATCTAGAGTACCCAACATTACAACCTTGGTCTAAACGCTCCAACATATCCCACCAGAGCCCGCGATTTAAAAGCTTCAAGGCTCGAGTCTTAATTCCTTAAACGCAGCTTTAAGACCCAATCTTAGACCCAACTCTGACGACAGCTTGTGTCACGTGATTGACAGCTGCGAGATCTTAGGATCGACTTAAGGAGTTAGGCCCAATGAAAATAAAACCGACCTTGGTTGGTTTTAGTGAAGAATAAGGCTCAATGTTGGGTCTTATTCTCATCAAAACCCGGAATGCGCCAATTCCAACTATGAAAATCCGCCAACTACAACATTAAACCGGTTTAATGAACTAAACTCTGTTAAAAATTAGATGCAACTTAAATCCGAAAGCCCGAGCCGTAAATAAGGCTCAACGACAGCTTAGACCCGAGTCGTATTTTATTGAATTTTTTAATCGCCGGCTCAGAATGATCAAAACTTTCGACAAAGTAATCAGAGCCGGCGATTTAAAAAAATCAAGAAAATACGACTCGGGTCTAAGCTGTCGTTGAGCCTTTTTTACGGCTCGGGCTTTCGGATTTCAGTTGCATCTAATTTTCAACAGAGTTTAGTTCATAAAACCGGTTTAATGTTGTAGTTGGCGGATTTTCATAGTTGGAATTGGTGCATTCCGGGTTTTGATGAGAATAAGACCCAACATTGGCCTTATTCTTCACTAAAACCAACCAAGGTCGGTTTTATTTACATTGGGCCTAACTCCTTAAGTCGAGCCTAAGATCTCGCAGCTGTCAATCACGTGACACAAGCTGTCGTTAGAGTTGGGTCGAAGATTGGGTCTTAAAGTCGGGTTTAAGGAATTACGGCTCGAGCCGAAGCTTTTAAATCGCGGGCTCAGGTCAGAATTTTACAGTACAATAACCAGATAATAACATTAAATCATGTTTTTTTTAGAAAAATAGGTTTTTCTGTATCTCATTTTTAATCCTGATTCAGGGATATCTTGGAGCGGTTGTGTTGTGTTCATAATTTCATAAATTGTAATATTTATTTTCAAAAAAGTGAACAATTCGTCTCTTTAAACGTCACTTCCTCTGTCTCATAATTCTTACATAAGTTTTCATTTATTAACAATTCTTCAACTTTCAATACATTAAGAATAAAAAGCACCGTTTTTATCGGTAATCAGTGACTTGATCACAGATCAATCCTAGCAGGGAGGGGAAGGGGAGGGCAGAGAAAAATCCTTGCAGGGAGGGGGAAGGGCAAAGATCAATCCTAGCGGGGGGGGGCGACATAGATCAATCCTAGTAGGGAAAGAGAAATCTTATTCTCGTAAAGAGCGAAATTTGGAAATGTTGATTTGAAGGGATTTTCCTGCCAAAACGTGCATTTTTTAGAATACTTTTACTTTTATTTAATTTATATAATTAGGTATAAAACATCTTAAAAGACGCTCTTTGTCACATGTTATTCGAAAAAAAATTAGTTTACGAGATTTTTTCCCCATAGAGATTCTACAAACACAGATTATATGTCAGAGTATAAAAAGAAAATTTGAGCACATAAAATAAAACACAACGAATACTCGACTCATGCATACTGTAGCACACAGTGTGAGATATTGAAAAGTGCTGGCAAGTTAAAGTCAGTCCGGGAAGTTGGTTATTATAGTTTAAAATATTGAATAATTGAATTAGAAGATTTGTGCAACTGTAGAGCACCTATTGCTAGTTGTTGTTTCTACCCAACTGATCCAACACCGGATGTTTATGCCAAGAAAATACGATAAAATCTCTCATTATGCTCAATTATGATTTTACTATAGTTTACAATAAAGCAATTTAAAGCATCTAAATTTGTAACGATTGTAATAAATTATAGGTTTTAATATACATTATATTATAAATATTAATTATAGCTAATATTTACATTTTGCTAATTGTCTTTTCATCTCGTACGATTGATTTGTCACTTGTACAGTAGCATGCATACATGTACCAAAAATTGTCTAGAACTAAAATCCGCGGATTTTGCTCTAGTGTACACTGTACATAAATTTAGTATTTACAATGCGGCACAATGGCGCGCTACGCAAGTTATATAAACTAGTATACATTAATCACTCCAGTTAACTTTTTTAACACATGTACAATTAATAATGTCTTGTGTATGTTGTACACTGAAATTGTAAAGAATCCTTACAACCGGGGTTTCCGAGCAAAATATAAATGTGCTTTTATCACCAGACGGTGCGCATCTGGCGTGCGTTTGCGTACTCCATCTTGGTGTACTTTTATGCGTAATTTTGTGCAGATGGCGAGTACAAATATCGTCCTTTACTTCCCGCGATAAATATCGATGATTTTATCCTGATCAACGAACTCGAATATGTGCGGCGCATCCATGAGGATACCGACGGTACCGATGGTTGTGACCAGGAAGAAAACCCAGAGTTGAGCTCGATCCACCACCATGGCGACAAACTTCCAATCTTCGCGAATCTGAAATTAAGTTGATTAATTTTTGTTAAAAATTTTAGTTTGAAATTTGAAAAAAAAACTATCTCTTTCAATTCTAGCCTGTCCAGGCTAGTCTAAACCACAAACTAAACCCTAGTTCAGTGGAATCTATTATTTTCAGGTCCAAACGGGTGCTGATCCCCACCCCCAGAAAGAGAAAAAATCAGACACCCCCACCCCCATTCAGGCCATCCCATCCTTACTCCTAGCTAAACCTTCATTAGTCTTTTAACTCATCCTAACCAAGGCTATAATGCAAAGAAAGTTATTTCAGAGGTGTTCGCATCTTTTATGCTGAAGTGTACTGTCTCTGGGCGGTAATGTAAACACAAGACGGATGTTAAAGCTTGACATGGGATCCATCTTTCAAATAAAAAATCAATGAAATATTTTGGTCATAGGAAAGTATTATGTGAATTGTCAAAATTTTCAAGATAAAATCCTTTTATCCTCCTCGGATACTAAATGAACACTGATGCATCTATTTTTGTTTACAAATTTTTATTTTCATTCATGGATTCTCTGCAATTTCTTGCTTATTTCTTGCATATCAAAAAAACAATGTAGACATTCACAGAAATAAACACTTTCCAAGTAAAAAAAACAAAGTTATCTTCAACATTTTTAAGGTTAGGCTTTGCTATCTTTGTGCAAGGAGGACGTTATGTCACTTAAAAGTGTGCTCACATGCAGTCCCGACCCAATCATTTTATCCAGCCCTGGAGCACTTGTAATATGAATGACGCCACGAAAAATAATGTATTTTGAAATTTTTATATTTTATATATTTTTTTACATCGGAACATTTCGGAAGAGAAGTAAGAATAATTAGGAGAACATAGTCAACATAGATATTTCTAAAACCTAGGGATACTAGAGTAAGGGGGGGGGGGTCTCA